AGGAAAGGGAAGAAATCCTGGGCATGGCTCAAACGTAGAGCCCCGGCATCCACGTGGAGGTGCTGGGTTCCGGCTGTGACTACAGTCTAGCACCACAGAGACCCTGACATCCTTGCAGAGGGAGGGAAGGAAATGCAAACCTGTGGCTGGGCAGAGTGGAAGAGACAGCTGTGTTCTGGCAAACTGCAGTAGAGGAAAGGAGTGGCGGAAGCTGAATGTGGAGTAAGCCGAGCGCGGGGGATGCTGAGGCAGGGGATTTCAAACTAGATGCCAGTGTGGGTGACATAATGAGACCATGTCTCAAGCACGGTGGCTAACACCTGCCACCCATTCACTTAAGAGGCTAAGGCTGCCAAGTGGTGGTGGTGCACGCCTTTAATCCCAACACTCGGGAAGCCGGGAAGCAGAGGCAGGTGACTCTGAGTTCAAGGCTAGCCTGGTCTACAGAGTGAGTTCTGGGGCAGTCAGAGATACACAGAGAAACCCTGTCTCGAAAAACAAAAACAAACAAACAAACAAACAAAAAGGCAGGAGGGGTCACTTCAAATTCAAGAAGGTCCAGCCTGGGCTACTCAGTGCGTTCCAGAACAGCCTAGACTACAGAGAGAGTTCTAGCCCAGCCTGGTGTTACACCATGGACACTAATGTCAATTAATCCACTTGATGGTTGAATGGGCTATTAGGAGGCCTGGTTGGATGGAGTAGGTCACTGGGGACAGGCCCGCATAGAGTGTCTTATTCCCGGTCCTTTCCCCTCTTGACTGTTTCAGGGACACCAGGAGGAGAGTAGTCTCTGGCTCCTGCACCCCCTGCCAAGATGCCCTGTCTCACCTCAGGCCCAAAGCAATAGGAAGCAGAACCAGATGGACTGGAAGCGAAACTTTGTTAACTAAGTTAAAATAAATCTGATTTTCTTTCTTTTTTCAGTGACAAACATCAAACCCGGGGCCTGGAACATGCTAGGCTAAGCAACATCTTCAGCACTTGGTTTTCAAGTGCTATATGAAATATACATATAGATGATATATACTCTGGCTATATCTCAGGCTGGCCTTGAACTTGAGATCTTGTCCCAGCCTCCAGAGTTCTGGGACTGACCCACAGCTGGCTTTGGAATATTATATATAGTGAAAAACTAATTCCCAAAGCCAGGCAAGATGCATCATGCCAGATGCAGGAGAATCGGGTGTTCACAGTCATCCTCTGCTAAATAGGAAGTCTGAGGCTAGCCTGGGCAACATGAGACCCAGACAAAGGATGGATAAGAGGGAAGGGAGGGAAGAAAAGGAGGGAGGAAGGGAGGCCAGGAAAGGCTCAAATAGCCAGAAGACTTCATGTCAGCACAGGCTGCTGTTAGGTAAATGTGGCCACTAGGGGGCACTGATAGCAAGCATCTTCTAACGGGTGCTGCTGGAGACTGCAATGAATCTCAAGACAATTAAACTCATGGGTAGTTTGGTGGCACACTAAATTTGATGGGAGAGATTAATCAGGTTAATTCTAACAACAGGTGTTCCATGGCAGTGATGCCAGGAGGATTTGGGACTCGGGAAAGCATGGTGGCGGATCCTATGGGAAAGAAGCCAGGCGTGGACGACACCAGTAAAAGGACAGGGCAGAGAGAGGGGACACTTTTTTTTCAACTATGTAGTCCTAGCTGTCCTAGAACTCACTCTGCAGACCAGGCTGGCCTCGAACTCACAGAGATCCCCCTGCCTCTGTCTCCCGAGTGCTGGGATAAAAGGCGCTCACATAAATTACTTTTAAAATATTTTTTAAATATTTATTTGGGGGCTGGAAAGATGGTTCAGACATTAAGAGCACTGGATGCTCTTCCAGAGGACCCAGTCTCCACTCCTAGCACCCATGTACCCATGTGGAGCTCACATCATCTACAATACCAGTGCCAGGGGTTTTGACACCTTCTCCTGAGGTCCTTGGGCACCAGGCACACACGTGGTACAGACATACACACAGGCAAAACATTCATGCATCTAAATAAACATTTAAAAAGTCAGATCTTCAGATCAAGGACAAAGCAAAGGAAGAATGGAACACTAACTACTGGGGAAACTGCCAAAGATTGGTTTTTGAAAAATATTTGGGAGAGGGCGTATGTGGAGGTCAGAGGACACTCTCCTCCCACCATGGGGGTCCTGAGGAGGGCGCTCAGGTTGTCATACTTGTTGACAGGTGTCATTGAGCCAACTCACCAGCGGCTGAAATGGGTTTTTATCAAAGTTGGGGAAAGACGGTTTTGGAGGAAAGGGGAAGAGGGAACAGGGTGGGTGGAGACCAGACACTGAAGGTGAGAAGCAGACAGGCTGTGGGGACTGGGTCCACAGGAAGGCTTGTGCCCTAGTGAGAGTGCTTGGTGAACCTCGGAGACATCATACCACAGCCCACGTGATGTAGGGCTCCCAGGAAGGCAGGGCAATTGTCCCCTTTCCACCATGACAGGGCTTGCTATGTTCACACACCTTATTTCTTTGGGAAACCTCACAGCCCTCGGGAGTGGGTACCGTTTTAATTGTCTTTATTCACAGATGCAGGTGTGGAGATTCTGGGATCTCACAGGACTTCTCAAGACCACACAGCCAAGATGTAGTGTGGGTGGCATCTGACTCAAGCACAATTTTTTGGTTTGTTGCAGTGCCAGGATTTGAATCCAAGGCCAGACGTGTGCCTGGCAAGTGGCCGCCTCCCAGAGCATCCTCCTTTGAAAAACGTACTCACAGGCAGGCGGTAGCAAACAACTTTAATCCCAGCACTCAGGAGGCAGAGGCAGGAGGATCTCTGTGAATTAGAGGCCAACCTGGTCTACAGAGCAAGTTCCAGAAAAGTCAGGGCTACACAGAGAAACCCTGTCTCCAGAAACAAAACAAAAACAAAAACCCTTACTCGTGTGCACGCGTTTTGCCCATATGCATGGTTCTTGGTGCTCAGGGAGAGCAGAAAATGGCAACAGAGTCCCTGGATCTGTTGCTGGTTGAGAGCTGCCATGTGGGTGCTGGGAACTGAACCCGAGTCCCCTGGCAAGTCAGCAGGGAACTCAGCTTCTGAACCATCTCCCCAGTGCCCCCCCACACCTTTCTGAGACAAGGTCTCACTGTGTAGGCATAGCTAGCCTAGAACTCCCTTTGTAGACCAGGAGGATCTCAATTCCTGCACACCAAGCACATATGAGGGGGTCAGAGGGACAGTGCGTGGGAGTCGGTTCTCTTCTTCCATCATGTGGGCCCCAGAGGTTAAATTCAAGTCCTTAGACTGAGAATCAAGTGCCTTTATCAACTGAGTCATCTTGGCGGTTCCTCTTCATTTTTATTTTACTTATCTGACAAAGGGCCAGGCTTCAGAACCCAGCCCATAACCCCATCCTTGTGACCCTGCCCCAAGTACTAGAACCACAGAACATTATCCTGCACTTTAGCTTTTATTTTGTTTTTGAGACAGGGCTTCTCTGTGTAGCCCAGGCTGTCCTTACTCTGTAGACCAGACTAGCCTTGAACTCACAGAGATCCACCTGTTTCTGCCTCCTGAGTGCTGGGATTGAAGCCCAGTGCCACCATGCCCCTGCCGTGTGGCTTTTAGCAACTGGTACTGGTGACCTGGGCCTCATTGGTGAGGTTCTTGTTTTCTATAGGAAGCTAAGAACACCCAGGGTTTGAACCTGTGATTTGTCACCTCCACGACCATGAGGAACCAAAAACAGGTTCTGTGAAAGGGAAGTAGAGGGTGCCCCAGCTCACGCAGTGTCCTGGGTCAGCAGCCCAGGCGATGGGAGCCACTGGAGATCCTCCACCCCCACCCAATCCTTTGCACCGAGGAGGAAGGCTAAGAGTCTGTGTGGAGACAGCGAGGCCAGCAGCAGGGCTGAATCAGGGTGTCCCAGATGTTAAGCCATCTTCCCTTGCTGGTCTGTGGTTCAAATCCCCAGGATGGAGCCCTCCTGGAGAGCAGCTGGGTGGGCAATCTCACCAGAGAGATGGGTGAGATGTTTTCCTAAATGTCCCGTCTTTGGGACCAGGGCCTCAGCGGTGGCAGTGGCTCCATCTCATGGCACATAGGCGGGGTTAAATAGCCACTATCTGCTTCTAGACCCCTCCAGGACACCCTATAGCTCCGTCCGGAAGGCATCGCTAACCCTTGAGCAGCAGACTTCCCTCCCTAACTCAGGGACACTTTCCATCCTGATCAAGAGTTGGTATTACCCCAACAGCAGCCACTCTGCTTCCAAGTTCAGTATGCAGATGTGGTTGAAATAGCCTGTGTAAACTGTGCTTTAACGTTGCTTCTTCCAGGAAGCCCTTCCAGACTTCCTTCCTTCCTCCCTCCCTCCTTTCCTTCCTTCATTTTCTTTGGCATTGCTGGGAATGGAACTAGAATCTCTTTTATGCTAAGTAGGTGCTCTACTGCTGAGCCATACCCCAGCCCCTCACTGGCAGTTTCTAGGCAAGCCCTCTATTGGACCTATTGTTCTGCTTCTCCACCCCAAGGGCCAATGGCCCTTCCCACCCCTGGTACTTAAGCCTCTTGTGCATCTCTCTCTCTCTCTCTCTCTCTCTCTCTCTCTCTCTCGCTCGCTCTCACTCTCGCTCTCACCCTCCCTCACCATTTTAATGTCGTTTACTGCTGGTCTGTGGCTTCAACGCCAACAGCCACACCGAGCACATTCTCCATGTATTGATGGCCTCATAGCTGTATGACGCCCTATGGGGAGATGATAGGGGTCACAGTGGGCTGTGAGCATCTCCACATCTCCTGTGGCCCAGGGATCTGGTCTGGCCTTCCCCAAAGGAGCTGGGACTGAGTCCATTTGCAGGGAGGTGGGGACAGGATGTGAGTCTCCGGGACACCTCGGGGTCAGCAGGGTCTGTTCTCAGGCTTTGTGGCTGGGAGGAATGTTTCTCCATCTGTCAAGGCCAGCTGTGGCTTGGGGACCAAGGGCTGGGGCTGCAGAAGTCTAGCAGCAGCGGGGAGAGGAAAAGCCAAACACAAGAGGCAGTTACAGAACCATTAAATACAACTTAGAAACAATCTGGGCGTTTGGGGATGGAATACAGAGGCCGGCGTGGTCAGGGTGGGGCGGTGTGGGCCCGGTCCTGGCGGGGGCTCAGGCTGGGGTCATCTGAGCGGCTGGACTGTGGGAAGCCTGGCTGCTTGTGCAGGCCCCGCAGCTTGGCCAGCAGCTCCTGGACGAAGTCCTGAGGACAGAACGGGGTTCTGAGACCAGAGCAGGAGACAGGCCTCCCACCCCTGCCAGCTCCTTGTCAGGCATCAGTTTACTCAAAGCGGGAACTGGAGCCAAGCAGGGAGGAGAGGGAGACTAAGATACACACGAGAAGGGGGGAGGGGTAAGTAGAAAGATGGGGGGAAGCTGCAATTGCTGCCTGAGTCAGTGATCGTATCTGAGGCAGGAGAATTGCTGTGAATTTACATGCTGAGACCTAATCTCAAAAAGGGGGGCGGCAGGGTGTGTGGAAGAGGGCTTGGGGGTTAAGAGCACTTGTTGCTCTTCCAGAGGACTCAGGTTCAGCTCCCAGCACCCACACAGCAGCTCACAACCATTTGTGACTCCAGTTCCGGGGCTCAACACCCTCTTCCATCTGGTCCCCACAGACACCAGGTATGTGTGTGGTGGTACACGGACATACATGAAGGCAAAACACATGTACACATAAAATGCAATAAAGAGAGATGGAGAGACAATCTAAGACCCAGACCTGAGAGATTCTAGACAGACACAGCCTCAGAGAGAAGTTTCTCAAGCCGAGAAACAGTCCCCAGAGACCAGGTCTGAGCCAGCCCAGGCAGATTGACAGGCAGTGACGTTTGTCCCTCAGGCAGCGAGGAGCAGAGGCGAGAACCATGAATATTTTCCCTTTTAAAGCAGAGAAGGAAGTGGGAGGGGTTGCAGCGGCCAGTTCCAGGACCTGCAGGATGGGAGGCCCCCAAGAGGTAGACAGGGAACCCCAGGGGGACAGAGATGGAGAGAGGGCAATCCCCCCCACCCCAGACAACCAGGACAACTAGTAAGGGCAGGCACCATATGGGCCAAAACCGGAGCCGCTCGCTCGGGGGAGGGGCTCCGAGGCAGCTGCCTGCGGAGCTGGTGGCAGATGGGAGGTGGGAGGAGGAGACAAGGACGACAAAGAACAGGACAGAGATGGGGGCTCCCCCCGGAGTTCCCTAAGCCTGCCTCTGCCTCCCCCACAAAGGTGAGGGGACCAATTCATAAGGACAGAAACTCACCTCCGTGGGATTCCTGCAGGACTTCAAGAGTCCCTTTGGGTGGGTGAGTGGGCGAACGACAGGGAAAAAAAAAACAACAACAACAAAAACCAGTAAATGACTGACACCTATTCCATCGGAGGCCCTCCCCTTCCCCCAAGGAAGCAAGACAAAAGACTGCCAAAACTACCCGAGTGGCTTCAAGTTGGACAGGGGCAGGGCTAAACCACCAGCAGCTCAGAAGGCTAGAAGGCCAAGCAGGGACCGAGGGGAAGGACCTGGCAGCCAGGCTTGGCTCCTAGCTCTCTCTAGTCAAGAAGAGCTGTGTGACCCTGAGCAAATAGTTCAACCTCTCTGGACGTCCCTTTCCTTATGGTGGTAAATGTGTCTACTTTACAGTGTTTTGCAGAGGATTTAGTGTCTGGCAGAGAAGTGTTTAATAAACATGCCAACTTGGGCTACTCCGTTTAGGGCCCTGCAAAATGTTGGACTGGGGAGGGGAGGGGCGGCTTTCTCCTTTCTCCCCACCTACCTGGATTTTGCGGCTTCTCTCCTCTTCGCTGTCCAATTGCAACAGCTCATCAATGTTGACCTCATCGGGCATATCTGCTTCCTAAGGCCAGGGAGAGCAGGCTGGTGAGGGCCCATGTCTCCCTGACCCTCCTCCACAGCCTTTGTCCAGGGCTCTGGAGGTACTCCATCAACTCCAGGCCCAGCTGGGCCTGCTGTAATAACGTGGCAGGCAGGGACAGCACCACTGAGGCGGACATCTGGGGGGTGGGGGGTGACAGATGGGTGGACGGAGGCCCAGGCCCTGGTACCAGCCCCATGCCTGCACCCTTGGCTCAGCCCTGGGGGCCTTGGGGCTGGCACAGGGCTCTGTCCTTGGCTGCGGTTCCTACTCGGCAAAGCAGGCCCAGTCGAGTCTCGGAATGTCAGATTCTGGGATTCAGGTTGGCTTCTGCCCTTTCAAGGGCAAGTCTCACTTAGCCGCGGGTGTGGGGGAGGGGAGCCTGCTGGGGCGGGCCCCTTCCCCTGGGGACCAGAAGGGCTTCTGGGCTTAGATCCAGCCAGGCCTCCCTGAGCTACACTGGAGGCTGCTGGATCAGCGAAGTGACCACCAAGGCATGGCTAGAGCTCATGGCACAGTGGTACAAAAGCTATCTGGTCATGATGGGGACAAGATCCAGCTGTTCTGGGCCTCAGCCTCTGGCTTCCCAGCCTAAAGTCCTGCTGCCCAGCTGGGGAGTGAGGGTGCTGTCCTGTGGGAGGAATGAGGCCTCTTGCATCTACGTGTGCTGGGCCATAGACAGAGGGGCCTCATGGAGGTTGCTTTGTTCAGAGGCTTACGTGATCTGAGTGAATGTATCTCGTGTGGCTGCTGCTTAGGTTTGGCTATCTCAGTTTGGACATGATGAGCTGTAGGGACCATCTTTATCTATGTATTTATTGTATTTTTTTTTTTTTAAGATAGGCCTAGATAGCCTAGGCTGGTCTGGAACACACTACGTAGCCCACGGCTGGCCTTGAATTCACAAATACCCACCTGCCTCTGCCTCCCGAGTGCCGAGTCTAGAAGGTGTGTGCCACCACTGCCAGGCTTGTTTTGGATTTTTTGGACAGGGTCTCTCCTTATCCAAGGTTGCCATCACCTCCCAAGGGCTGAGGTCACAGGCATTAGCTGCCATGACCATTATGGTTTCTAAAGGTCTTAATTCCTGAAGCACCCTTGGCAGGTCCAGTCGTGACTACAGTTTCCACAGATGTGTGTGTCTACAGGGCTGTGGCATCTGTCCTTGGTTTGTTGTCAGCAGATAGTGGACGGCCCCTTGTAACCTGATTCACTTTGTGTCCCAGGGTAGCTTTCGGAGCTTGGAACAACTGATACACATCTCTGTACAGCTGTAACTCTTCACTTGGCACTGAGGGCGATGGTGTTGTGTGTGGTGGATGTTATTGTGTCCACAGCAGGGCATGCTGGTCCCTTAAGCTGAGCCACTGGTATTCCTGTAAGTTTGTGTGGCTCACTCCTGGTGCTGTGCCTATGTGTGGCTGTGACTTCCGTCATCTGTGTATACTGGTGCTTCCTCTGCTGAGAGTCTCTGCTGTCCTATCTGCCTTGTCACCCATGTCTATGTTTGGCTTAAGGACGTCCCCTCTCCCTATCTGTTCTCTCAATATGTTGACTCTGGCCCCCCAGTTCTTTCTCATCCCCTGTATAGGATCCCACCCCGGGTTTTCCCAGGTGTGTTTGGACACACACAAGTCTGGAGAACCTTGTGTATCTCTCTGTGTATCTACAAGCTGAATGCCCCTGAGCACAGAGACCAGGGCCTCAAGGCATATGTCCTTCTGGCAAAGATCGCTGCCGGTGCAGCAGCTGGTGCACCAGTGAGCATATACCAGGGTCATCGAGGGCCGATGTCTCAGGCCATCTCCCTTCCCCAGCCCCATTCCCTCTGGGTCTCACCCTGCCGCGGTATAACTCCTCCAAGCGTCCGTCGATCCACTTCTCCACGTCCAGTCGTCGCTGCAGCTCCCGCCGGTCGTATTTGACGGTGACTCGCGCGTGCCGCTTCTGCAGCCCACTGGGGCTGCCCCCCGGACTGCGAGTCCGCGACGGGGACTGAAGCTTGCTCAACACGCGCTTGCCCAGCCGCTGCGCTGCCATCGCGCCGCCGCCCGCCGTCCCCACTTAGCGCTCTGCTTCGAGCTCGGGGCTCTTTCGGGCCGGGGCGGGGCCGCCGGGGGCGGGGGCTCGCTCTCGGGAGACCCGCCCCGCTCCGGCCGCGGGGCCTCAGTTTCCCCTGGCGAGCAGGCTAGTGTGCAGGCTTCAAGCCAGGGTCCTGCGAGATGCAGATGGGGCAGGGGACGGGACAGTCAGCTCAGAGCGCTCTGGGGTACATATCCCGGGGCGGGGTCCCGGGACACTCTTGGGGTCGGCCCTCTGCGCCCTCTGGCGGCAGCGAGGGGTACTGCAGGAGCGCCAGGGCTTCGCTGTAAGGGGCCGCCCAGAAACTTCTCTTTGTAAAAGCTCAGGGTTTTAAGACAGGGTCTCAATTAGCCCTGTCTGGTCTTGAACTCCTAAGCCTCTTGCCTCCACTTCCTAAGTGCTTCGATTCCAGACTTGAGCCATGCCACACCCAACTCTTTTTCTTTTCTTTTTTTTTGTTTCCTAAAAACTGATCAGAGGTGGACCCTGGGACCTCAGGAATGCTAATCAAGCGTTCTAAGCCTTCTGGGCTTAACTCTTGAACTGTCATTTAGTTTACCTCCCTCATTCATTCATAAATTCACCCCCTCCAGCACACAGTATTCATTGAGTGGTGTCAACCGCCTGTAGCCCTGGCGCTACAGTTAGTGAGTTTCGGAATTCCCGCACAAGCTGAGCTGCAGACCCTGCTTTAAAACAAACAAGCAAACAAACAAAGCCGGGAAGGGTCAGATGACTCCATTGGTTAAAAGGGCTTGGTGCTAGGCCTCGGGACCTGATTCTGTCTCAGCTCCTACAAGTGTCCCTCAGCACCAGTACACATGCGTGCGCACGCGCACACACACAGGCACATTATTTTTTTAAAGCAGGCATGATGCATCTCAGTGCCCAAAGTGGCTGGCAAAAACAGTACTCCAGGAAGGAGGACAGGTGAAAGTCCAAGGTAAGCCTGAGCTGCATAATAAGAATTACCTCAAAAAAAAAAAAAAATGAGGCAGGGGGAGATCTGGAGAGATGGTTCAGCAGTTAAGAGCCCTGGCTGCTCTTGCTGAGGAACGGGATTCAGTTTCCAGCACCACATGGTGGCTCACAACCACAGGTAACTCCAGTTCCAGGGGATTTGATGCCCTCTTCTGACCTCCAAGGGCTGCAAAGTAGACACTCAGGAACACACTCACACACAGAATAAATACTTTAAAAATAAATATTATCGGGGGCTGGAGAGATGACTCAGTGGTTAAGAGCACCGCCTGCTCTTCCAAAGGTCCTGAGTTCAATTCCCAGTAACCACATGATGGCTCACAACCATCTGTAATGCCAGTTCCGGGGGAATCTGACATCTCATCTATGAAGGCACCAGGCAGGCACACACTTGGTACACATAATACATAAACTCTCAAACACCTAAAAACAAAATAAATTTTTTTCTTTTCTTAAGACTGAGTGTCTCCTTATAGTCCTGGCTGTTCTGGAGCTCGATTTTTAGACCAGGCTGGACTCAAACTCACAGCCTCTGCCTCCCGAGCGCTGGGATTAAAGGCGTTTGTCACTACTATCTGGCTCAACTTAATAAATCTCGGCTTAATAATTATTTATTAATAATCTTAATAAATCTAATAAATAAAGCTGCATGTAATAATAGTTCTGGAGAGTTAGAGACAGGTAGACCCTGGGGTTCTCTGGCCGAACTGAATCAACCATAGGTTCAGTAAGAGACGCTATCTCAGAATAGAACATGGAAACAGACTGAAGAACATCAGATTCTGACATCTGGCTCCCACTACAGGGACGCACTCGTGCACATGAAAACATAAACACACACACAGTAGCCATTTTGGGCTACATAGAAAGAACCTGTCTCAACCTGCCCCCTCTCCAAAAAGTCATTTTCCAGACATCTGCACAGTTCCAAACAAATCAGTACTGAAAGTACCCTCCCACCCCAAGGGATGATAAACTTTATTCAGGATTCAATGCTCCACCTCTGAGTCACATCACCATCCTCCTCCCTGACGCCCTCTGCTCCTCCACCTCTGAGCCACATTGCCACCCTCCTCCCTGACGCCCCCACTCCTCCTCCTATTTATGATGATGATGATGATGATGATTTTAAGACAGGATCTGGAAATGTAGCCTTGTTGACCTGAGACTCAATGCCACGATGGTCTGGGACTTGGACTTGCTATGTACACCAGGCGGTCTCAAGTTCACAGAGATCCACCTGTCTCTGCCTCTGTCTCTGTCTCTGTGCTGGGGTTGAAAGAGAACACTGCTGTACCCAGCTTTTCCTTTTTCTGAGGCTCCACTGTGTAACCCTGGCTGTTCAGGCACTCATCATGATAGAGGCCTGAGCCACTGAGCCCACCTGAGGAGTATTCCAAAACCGAGTCCTCCAAGCATTCAACATGTACGGACCACTGCTTTTCGTAACTTTGACACAACCAGGATCTGTTCGCTCTTGTGCCTTTCCTGCATCTACGGCAGGACCTGACTCACGACGTGTGCTGAGCAGGTACATGCTTCAGTGATCGAGTGAATGAATGACTCTGTGCTTTTCTCCCCAGCCATATTCTCCAGCCACTTAATGCTGTTTACAGGCACAACTAGCAACTGGTGGGAAGCCGGAGGATTGAAGTCCTGAGGACTTCAAAGCAAGACAAAGAAGATGACAGGCATAAAACTATGTTCGGTGTGTTGGGGAGTGGTGGCTCACTTCGCTAATCCCAGCACTCAGGAGACAGAGACAGGCAGATCTTTGGGAGTTCAAGGCCAGCCTGGTCTACCTAGTGAGTTTCAGGACAGTCAGGGCCACACAGAAACCCTGTCTCCAAACAAGGAGCAAAGGACTGAGGTTTGATTCCCAGTATCCACATGGTGGCTCACAACCACCTGGTCTCTGTGGGCACTAACCACACATGTGTGGTGTTCACACATATATGCAGGCAAAACACTCACCCACATGAAATCTTTTTTTTAAAAAAAAGACATATGTGTTGCTCCTGATGCTTGCCATATTTGTTCCTTTTCTTTCCTTATCCTTCAGCGACAGGGGCTAATTTCTCACTGAGTCCTTCCTCCGCTGCCAGTTCCTAGACTCTCTTGATTTATCCCAGCCCAGCCCAAACACACTGCCCAGTTTTCAGGTTTTTTTTTTGTCTCATGCTCGGCAGGGTTTCATGAAGCACAAGCTGGTCTGGTCTGCGTTCGCTGAGAATAAGCTTACACTTGTCTTGGTCCTCCAGTTCCTACCCCGAGTGCTGTGATGTCAAGTATGGGGCACTTGGCGCTGGGGATCAAACTCAGGACTTTCCTGCATGCGTGGTGAGCACTCTATCAACTGAGATGCACCCCACACCAGGTGGTTTTGTTTACTTTTTGTTTTTGAGGGACACAGGTTGTTTGTTGCTGGGGTGGGCTTTGAGCTATCCCAGTCCTGTTTCAACTGCTGGGAATACAGGCTTGTGTAACCAAGCCTACCTTGTTTACAATAACAAGAACACTATTTTATTTTTCTTAAATCATTTTTTTTTAAACAGGATTTTCTCTGTAGCTTTGAAATCTGTCCTGGAACACACTCTGTAGACCAGGCTGGCATGGAATTTACAGAGATCTACCTGTCTCTGTCTCCTGAGTGCTGAGATTAAAGGTGTGCACCACCACGACCCAGCAAATACATTTATTTTTGTGAATGTCTCTATGCATGCGGGATAAGTCCCATGGCTGGAGTGTGGAGGTCAGACAACTTCAAGAAGTCAGTTCTCTCTTTCCACCAACTGAGCACCAGGATTAGAACTCAGGAGATCAGGTTTGGTGGCAGGTGCTGGCCCAAGAGCATTGTTTATTTGTTTATTTGTTTTTGGCGTTTCGAGATAGGGTTCCTCTGTGTAACAGTAGGGTTCCTCTGTGTAACAATCCTGGCCGTCCTGAACTCACTCAGTAGACCAGACTGGCCTGGAACTCAGAGATCTACCTGCCTCTGCTTCCTAAGTGTTGAAATTACTAAAGGCGTGCACCACCATCTCCCTACTAAAAGCAACGATTTTCAGAGATACTGTGACCATTCTAATAATCTTGGTGATGGTCTTCTATTCCTGTCAGTCCTGCCCCATTCATTCAACTTATACGGCCCCTCTTCTCAGAAGCCCTCCATGGTTCTGTGGTGGTGGTTCGTGTGTTTCCTCTGTCCACGCCCCTTTTGGTCTGTTCATCCTATCTAAGGCTTTGATCTTCGCCCTACGATCTCTGTACAATTGTATTTGTCCTCCTGTACAGGGTCCAGGGAAACCTGCTGTTTTAGGGACTTGTCACCTTTTCCAGGCAGTCCCCTGCCTGGCTGGCCGTGGCGCTGAATAGGGAACCTGTGTGATCGGGTCCTTATGCAATGGTTTTCACCTACCCCCGCTCACTCAACCCTTGGATTTCCCCATCGCATTCCTGATCACACTTCCCTCTGCTTCCGCATCACTGCTCCGGGTTGCTCCTATCTGACGACACACAGGCCAGTCTGGTGTGGTCACTTCGGAGTTCAGGGCATTTGGTCATGGCTCAGTGAGCTTTGAATTTAGGCAGGATAAATCCCTAACCCTTAAGGAAGGCGAAAGCAAGGCGGGCAGAAAACCTGTTTTCCCTCAAAATGTGTGTCATTTGCCCTAGTCCCAGCGCAAGAGCGAGCGAAGGCACAATGGGCTCGTGGCCAAAACCCTCGCGGAAAGGTAAGAGCGCCCCGCAGCACCGCTCCTCCCACTAGGGCCGACTGGGGGCGGGGGCCAAGATTAGCCACGCCTCCTTCCAGGAGCTGGGGGCTGTCCCAGGTGAAGGAGGGCGAGCGGCGGCTCAGGTGCCCGCCCTGTGCGCCTGCGCCGTGTCCGCTCCATCCCCGCCCCGCCAGGTGCGCTCCACCCCCAGCCTGGGCGCCGCCGTTCCTAACTTCTCAGCGTTCGCCATTCGCAGAAACGACCCCCGGGCGCCTGGTTGTGTGGAGCCCTAAGTCGGGGGGGGGAGAGTCGCCGAGTGTCGTGGGGCGTCCAGAGGCGTGTTGGGAGCCGACTAAGGCGTCATACGCGCCAAAATCCCGAGAAAGGGAGCTTCCTGGGAGCCGGGCGCCTCGCGGTCTGCCCCCCACACCCCTCCGGGCGCAGCCGCACCTGAGCTCGCGGGCCTCCAGTGCGCGTGCGCGGCCGGGGCTT